CTATTCTATTCTATTCTATTCTATTCTATTCTAATACTCTCACTTAATACAAATTAAGTTTAGCTGGTTCAGTCCAAACATATAGTCTCTGAAAAGCTTTCTCATTAAACATGGTGAGCGCTCTCACAACCTTCGCAACCCTATTATTGCAAAACAAATGTACATAGCATACAAACAATGGTTACAGAAGAATTTCTAAACTACTGAAGGTTCCAGTAAACATTGTTGGGGCCATAATTCGGAAGTGGTGAGGACATCACCATAAACCAGCCATGGCCAAGTGGTCCCTGCAAGATTTCAGAGATCGAGTGAAATAAATTATCAAAAGATTTGTCAAAAAGCCAAAAGCCACTTGCTGGAGAGCTACAGAAAGACCTGGAAGCAGGAAGTACAATGGTTTCAAAGAAAACTATAAGTAATGCACTCAACTGCCATGGCCTGTGTGCACATTCACCACACAAGACTATTGCTAAAGAAAAAGCATGTTGAAGCTTTTCAAATTTTAAGGAACAAGATTTAGAGAAAAAGAACGGCTGTGAAATACACTCGTGTATAATCTGGCCAGATGAGACGAAAATTTTACTTTTTGGATCCCCTACTACATACATTGTTTGGAGGTCAAAAGGCACTGCATATCGTGGTGTGAGGCTCTTTTTCAGAGCGTCACTGGCATTCTTTATATGACTGAAAGAAGGCTAAATAGAAAAATGTATGGAGACATTCTAGATAAAAATCTGCTGCCATGGACCAGGATGATGAAGATGAAATAAGGGGGGTCCTTTCAGCAATACATTGATCCCAAATACACAGCCGAGGAAACTCTCAATGGGTTTCTGAAAAAGAAAATAAATCTGCTAGAATAGCCCAGCCAATCACCTGACCTGAATCCATCTTAAAATCAGTGGAAAGAAGCGAAGCTCAAAGTTCATCAAAGAGGCCCACAGAACTTCAGCATTTGAAGAGTGTTTGTGTGGAACAACGGGCCACACAAGACACCTCAAAGCTGTCATTACCAACAAAGTTGGTAATACTTTTGTTGAAGTATTAAATAGATTTTATTAAGCGTATTCAATACGGCTATGTCAGATAATTCATTCCTCTGTGGGGCATAGGCCAACATGCTATTAGTCACTTTCACCTTTCACAATAAATCCTCTCAATGTGCTAACAGCTGAGAAAAGACAGGAGACATGAGTAGAAACCACACAACACAGTACAGAGGGACATGTTAACGGGTGCCTGTGATGTGGTAGGAAAAATATCGATGCTTGCTTTAAATCTTCATATGTACATTTTTTATTTGTTATTTTTATTTTTTGTCGGGGGTGTTTGTTTTAATTTCAACCCAATTTCTCACTCTACACAAACACTGGGATTTCAGTAGCTGTTTTAAGTCGACTCGCCGCACCACGGCTACTGTTGTGGGCTTTATGCGCACGGTTCTGTCTTTCTAAAGAAATGTGAGTAGGACTGACTTCCCCTAATGTGGCGCAATATATCCTTCTATCGCTCCCATAACAGGAAGACTGTGAGACTCGGGCGTAAGCAGCGTTCGCGTACCCAGGATATAGACCGTAGCTGTGTATTTTCCATAGCAGAAAAATGCACTAAATCATCTTACAATGGATTCAAATAGGTAAACTGAATAACTTGGAGTTGTCTTTCTTACTGAATCCGTCATGTTTGTTGAAAGAAAAGATCTCTCTTTCCCTTTTTCTTTTCCAGACGAGTCTGCAACAGGATCTCTGTTATCTTCCTTCTTTTAGGGCACATCGTGACTGTTCCCTTTGGTATGTAGCTCGCAGTAAACGAATTAATTGTTGTGTGAAATCCTAAGGAGCCACAATTTATAATTTATGTTTCGTGCAGGAAATAATCAGACAACTAACTCCAGTCTTGACTGTACCAACGACTTTGACGAGCTGATGTTGTGTCAGCTGGAGCTACAAAACTGCACTGAGTACAGTTTGACTCTCCAGAGTGTAGAC